TTTTTTTTTTTTGAGAGAGATTTTCGCTATAGGGCGCGTGCGCTCGCCAGACAGAGAGAGACATAGAGACAGAAAGCGAGAAATCACCCCCCAGGGGGGATGGTCACGCCGCAATCCCTTCTCCTCCATTCTCCTCTCGGGATCATGGGCACGCACGCACACGCGCCCGGCATGAGTTTTAAGCCACCGGGTCCGGGACGCGAACCGCGGTCGACTACGTGGGAGTCCAGCGACATAGCCATTACGCTAACTGCTGGTTCCTCTCTTGTAGTCATCTTGAAAAGCGGCAGAAAAGTCGAAATCAGCATCGGTGAAGAATGGTTGGGAGAGCGACGTTTGGGCCTAGCTGTCTTTACTCTGTGTTTGAAATGAGGTAGAGGAGGGACTTATTATTTTCATTAATGAACCCCAAACTAAACTAATCTGAGACAACATCTGTCCATTTTTTTGCCTTAGCTACCAAGGGATGGTAACAGAAATTCACTTCCTGTTTACAGTGATCGGAGTTACCAGGACACCTTGGATTCCAAGGAACAGCTCAACTACTTCTGCTTCCAGAAAATAACCTACATTCTGTTTCATATCATATAATTTCTGTTTATTTTCAAGTTTTACAGCACATCATTTTAGCAGAAAATATTTCACCACACATAGTAGAACTGGATTTCAATGGAAGGTCATTAAGCAAATACGTTGTGTCTCTGTCCCTTTCAGAATGGCTTTACCCCTCTTCATATTGCCTGTAAGAAGAATCGAATTAAAGTAATGGAACTCCTTCTGAAACACGGTGCATCTATCCAAGCTGTAACCGAGGTGAGAAGAATAGGATGTCTGGGGTTCCCGAGATGCGGGGTGCCACCTCGGCAGCCTGGGTCCTCGTCTGTCTCCAGGCACCAGCTAGCTTTGCTTGTGTGCCGTTGCCACAGGTTACTGAAGAGTTATGAACTCTTCACCCAAAGGGCAGCCATTCCTTAGAAGGCGCAGGCAAGCGCATGGGTGGGTAGTGCAAAGGCATCACCGTGGCTAGAAACGCAACCCAAGTCACCCACTCAAGACACCATGGAAAGAGCAGGGGGTATAAATCCTGCAAAGCACTGCTACTCCAGTGAGAATGGTTTTGTTCCCAGGGGACATTTGGCGATGTCTAGATGTTATTTTTAGTTGTTACCACCACGATATTGCTGCTGGCATCTGGTGGGTAAAAGCCAGGCATGCCACTAAACATTTTACGCTGTACAGGACAGCCTCCCATGCCACAGACCTATCTCACTCAAGATAGCAAATATTCCCGGGTTTAGAAACCCCAAATAACACGCAACTTCTGTGTTTTTGTAAAGTAAGGATTACTCTGCCTACAAACTCAAAATTAATGAAACAGTTGCGAAAATTAGTAAAAGACACCCTCTAGGTTTCTTTGATGAGAACCAGCTCAGAGCTAGGGTCCATCAGAAGCACAGTGAAGCCTTCAGCCCAATGAACCACCTCTGCTATCTACTCTTCCAGCCCCCAGCCCCCGCCTCACCTCTCAGCTCCAAACACTCTGTGCAGTCTAGCCATGGTGCGTCCCTGGGCTGGGCACTGTTTTGGTCCCTGCACCATCATGTGTCACACCCTGCCTGCCAGACCAATCAAGCACACCCTTCATGGCTAGATCTGGGCCACCTTCCCCAGGTAACCTCTCAGTGGCCTGGACGAGGTACTCCTGCTAGGGATAGTCACCTTATCCCATGCATCTCTCTCTCGGTGCACCTCTGCAGCCGGCTTATATGTAAGTTCTCGTGCAGCGTACTTACTTACATGCCCCTCTGTCCCCCAGATGCCCCAGTCTCCTTGATGGTAAGACTGAGTCTTAATGGTCTGACACCCACAATGCCTACCCACCCATAGTGTGGCATTCAATAAAGGTTTGTTGAATACTGGATGATTAAAGAATTTAAATAAACATAAAAATTAAAGACTAGGGAGCGGCAGACGGTAATGGTTACGTCATTGTACGCCCATGTATTCAACCATGGTTCAAGTCCCAGACCCAGAGGCTTAAAACACGGCGAGTACGTGTGTGTGCGCGCGCGCGTGCTCAAAATCCCAAGAGGAGACTGACTGGAGGAGAAGGGATTGCTGAATGACTACCCCCACCCCGGGGGATGACCTTTGGCTTTCCATCTCTCTCTCTGTCTCTTCAGCAAGTGAACATGCCCTATAGCAAAATTCCCTCTCTTAAAAAAAAAATTAAAGTCTAGTTTAGAGAGATTTTGCTTGGCTTTACTTTCTTACCTGCAAATGAAATATTCATTTTGATTTGTGATACATAAGTTTTAAACTATTTTAAAATGTTGAAAATATAATACTGATTCGATCTTATATTAGACATATGGCTTCATATTTGACAACCTGTTATTTCAAGCAGAAAATAGTAAGTTTATTTTCAGTGCATGGGTACCCTTTTTAAAGAACAGAGTAGGTTCTGAAATGAAAGTGTGATTGTTGACTGATGTTCAAATAAGCATCGGGGATTTCAGCCGACGGTAAGAAGGTTCCACTTTCAGCCCTGTGCTGTAAGAGCTGAAAAAAAGCAGTGCAGGGGCAGGCAGGTGGTGTGATGGTTAAGGGTGTTGGACTCCCACATGGCTGACTGTGGTTCAAGTCCTGGACGTGGTGGCTTGCCTTTTCACTTTCCCTTTCGCTCTGTCTCTCTCACTCTGTCCCTCTCTGGTCAAATTAAAATAAGTAAATCCATAAATTGAGTTAAATAAAATAATTCTTTAAAAAACAAACAAAAATAGCAGTCTAGACCTGGAGGACAGCTCGGCCTCCTGTGAATTCTAACAACGCCCCCTGCTGATAGAAAAGGTACAACAAACTCTCATTATCCTCAGTTCTCACTATTTGAAGTCTGGGCAGCCAGAATTCTTTTTCTTTCTAGGTTTTACCTCATACTTACTGTACAGAATTCCTTTCTTGTGTTTTTTGACATTTATCACATTTCCATTAAGAGTAGTTATCCCCATCTTTTCCCCTTAAAAAAAAATAAGGGTTTGTTTTTTTCTAGCATATTAAATATTTTTATTGAATTGTGATATTCATGTTGTAAACTGAATTAAATTCTGAAAAACATAAGATGGAGGTATTTTACATGATAAACACAAGTAAATCACACTTCTTACTGTTATTAAGATAATTACTAATCTTATAAGATTATTGACTTGAGATTTTTGATCCTGTTCTTTTACTTATTCGTTCTACTTATATCACAAAATCATGGGCATATTTAAGATGAAATACCCAGGAATCAATAAATCTGCCTTATGCTGAATTGTGTGTGTGTGTGTGTGTGTGTGTGTGTGTGTGTGTAAAGGAGTTGAATAAACATAAAGTATAGTCTAATGACCATTGTAATTGCTTTCCTTATATTGCCTTAATTTATAATAGTCATAAGGTTAAACAGTGACATATTTGGAACTATTAATGCTGATTTGTTCATTTATCAGAGATTTGCTTTGTGTTTAGTGCCCTGCTGCTCAGTGTGTGGTGTCAGTTTATTTTGAGCACATGGAAATCCTCTGTAAAGCACAGAATAGGATTCAAAATAAAAGTTGACCTTTTACTAATGCGTAGGTAATCACACCACCACTTTGTGTGTGTGTGTGCACACACACACTTATATGGATAAGGAAAGTTTAGTAGCAAAGGAAAAAGAAAAACTTCAAGTTATTTCTCTCAATTTTCTTTATACGTCTATACCAAAAAGTATGAAATCTTTGTAAGATAGGACATAGTTTCCATAATCACAGAACTTATTTTGTGGAAATGATTATGTGTTGATATCTTTGTCTTACAAAATTTAGGATGTAATGGCACATGTCCTGTTATCTGCTGATCTTGTCAATAAACTGGTTAAGATGGATGGATGGGGGCGGCCAGCAGGTGGTGTGGTAGTTAAGGTGCTGGACTCCTACATAGCTGACTGCAGTTTGAGTCCTGGACCTGGTGGCTTGCTTTCTCACTTTCTCTCTCTCTGTGTATCTCTTGTTGGTGAGTGCATATGCCCTATAGCAAATTTTAAAATTATAATAAATACAATTAAATAAATATTTTTAGAAAGGCAGATCGGGGCCAGCAAGTGGTGTGGGTTAGGCAATTGTACTGCTACATGGCCGGCTACATCTCAAGTCCCGGCCCTAGTGGCTGCTTTCTCACTTTCCCTCTCTCCTTCTCTCCCTGGTGAGCATATGTGCCCCATAGCAAATTTAAAAACTAATAATAGGAACCAGCAGTTGGTGTAATGGCTATGTCACTGAACTCCCATGTAGTCAACTACGGTTCGAGTCCCGGAATCGGTGGCTTGAACTCATGCCAGGCACGTGTGTGTGTGTGTGTGTGTGTGTGTGTGTGTGCGTGCCCAAGATCCCGCGAGAAGAATGGAAGAAAAGGGATTGCAGTGTGGCCATCCCCCTGGGGGGTGATTTCTCGCTTTTTGTCTCTCTGTCTCTCTCTGTCTTTCTGGCAAGTATACATGCCCCTATAGCAAAATCCTCTCAAAAAAAAAAAAAAAAAAGCTAATAATGATAATCAATAAAATTAAATCTTTTTTTATAAAAAAGGATGGATGGTAGACGGATGGATGGATGAATAGGAACGGGAAGGTACATAAATAGATTGATATGCCAATAGATAGTTGACAGGCAGACAGATCAAGCCTTTTTATGATAAGCAAACCAGCAAACCAATATTTCCTTATTTTCTCCTTAGTCGGGCCTTACTCCAATCCATGTTGCTGCCTTTATGGGCCATGTAAATATTGTATCACAACTAATGCATCATGGAGCCTCACCGAACACCACCAATGTGGTAAGTGTCCTGTTTATAAAGCCGACCAGCTGTGAGTATCTAAGAAACTGGCACAGTTTACTTTGATCTACTACTTTTAATCATGATTAAATTAATGACTACTTAACTTGGTTTCCTTGAGTGGGAAGGCAAGATCCATTCATTCATTAGTTGGCCACAAAGCGTTAGGGGCTATGTACTGTCCATTAGCCTTCTAGGTACATTACTAGTAGGTATTATGTTTTTAAAAACTAAATGTGTACTGGGGGGGGGTTGTATAACAGAAACAGAAAAAGTACTGCAGGTTGAAGTAGTTGAGACACTATCATTATTTATATAAAGAAATGACTCCAGATCCCTTCAAAGCCCTCTGTTTCTCGTCCGGTGTGTGTTTCCCCGTGTTACACTAAAGGTGTGGAACTCCGAGTGCCTACATTGTCTGATGACCTTGTTCTCCCACACGGAGCACTGCTCTGACAGAACCAGGAGACTCACTGGAGCGTAAACAGGGGAGCAGTAGCTTAGTACCCCAGATCCACACGTGGCACCCGGCATCATCAGCATCGTAGCACACTGACCACAGGCAGCAGAACACTCATTGGAATCTTAAGTAAAGAAGCGAACATAAAATGTCAACGTTCTGGCACAGAAGGGGCAAGCTGTAGTTCCTACACCCTCACTCCGAGAGCACCCCTCCCCTGTACCTTCTAGCAGCCCCAGTCAGCTCATCCATAAGACAGAAACAGACCAATTTCTCAGCTCAAGTACAAGGTTCCCTGGTGCTAATTCCAGAGGATGTTTCCCATCATGAAGAGAACACAGTCATATACTCAACAGCAACATCCTCCACACCTTCCCCATGAACCTATAACACATTTCCAGCAAAATCTGTCTTCGTATGTCCTTTCATGGAGGTAGGTGGTCCATGAAGCAAAGCTTGGTTTATAAAAGAAATTTAAAACTGGGCATCACTTGTGTGAAAAATATATTTGACTTTTGTTACTTTTACATTTCAGTGTATGCATGCTTTCTGTATCATTTTCATTTGGCATTAAATAAATGAGTCGATCAGTTGAATGCAAGTCTATTTGATAAAAATATGGAAGGAAGAATGGTCCAGTGGCAAAGACAGTGAGTCCTTGGGATCAGTCCCAAAGACTGGGCTGCTGGTCTGTTGAAATAGAGCTGGGAATAAAAAAAAAAAAAAAAAAAAAAAAAAAAAAAAAAAAAACAAATATAAAAAAAGCCAGTCTGGCCCTCGGGTATTATTCATGTTTTGTTTTTAATTCTGATTTCATGGTCAGCATTTAAGAATTGAGAAATTGATACAAATATCCAGGCTGCCACTTCTTTTGAAAAGTAGGAAGGGGTGGATGACAGGGCTGGCATCCTGCCCAGTCACCACAGCGGTCTGCAGATGCCAGGTGGCGGCCGCCCCCTGTGGCCTGCGGACCTGGAATGAGCTCTTGTTAAGCACTCCCCACCTGCCTTGCTTCACGAATTGGCCCTCCGGCCTGGCCCCGTGAGCATTCACCTTTTCAACCCCCCATGAGGCCACAGCATGGACTACTGAACAGTTGATACTGTAGGGAACTAGTTCCCTAGGGTTATACCAAAGTCCTTGCCATCGTGAATCATTTCTGTGAAATGCTAATGTATTTCATCTCTATCTTTACAACAAGCAAGTGCTTGGAACTGCCTTTTTGTTGTTGTCTTAAAAAAAAAATGCTGTCATAAGCTTTATGCCAGAAATTACTCCGGTCTTCTTCAGAGCTGCAGTTCATTTATTTGGGCTCATGTTCCACAGAGAGGAGAAACAGCACTACACATGGCAGCTCGCTCCGGCCAAGCCGAGGTCGTGCGGTATCTGGTCCAGGACGGCGCTCAGGTGGAAGCTAAAGCGAAGGTACGTGTGCTGGACGGCAGCGTTTACTACCGAGGGAAACTGATTTGAATAAAGCCTTCAAATACAAGAAGACTTCTGAACACTCATGGCAAAATGAAAGTACAAGCTTATTTTGGTGCAAGAAGCATGTTAAATCTATGTGTGGCCTTCTCATAATGCAAATTTTCTATGCACTTTTTGAAGACTTTTTCTTTTTTCTTTTTTTTTGAGAGGTTTTTGGTATATAGCGTGTACACTCACCAGAAAGCCAGAGAGAGACAGAGAGACAGAAAGCGAGAAATCACCCCCGGGGGATGGCCACTCTACAATCTCTCCTCCTCCATTCTCTTCTTGGGATCCTGGGCACACATGCACACGCACCTGGCGTGAGTTTAAGCCACCGGGTCCAGGACCTGAACCGTAGTCGACTACCTGGGAGTCCAGTGACATAGCCATTATGCCAACTGCAGGTCCCTGAAGACCTTTTATATGTGCTATGTTTCAAGAACACTTTTTTAAAAAATGGTGAACATCCAATGACCATCCAAAACCTACCCAAGTAATGTAAAAAAGCCCTTTTTCTTCATATTTGTTCATTCAGTTATTTAATGAAATTTTTAAAATTAAATAGACCAAGATCTTTGTGCCAGAAGTTACCCTTGGCACATTACTACTCCCTGACAGATTAGGAACCAAATCTAGATTTATCAGGGTTCTTTACAGTCTGTAGAGAACGGTACGTGCACAGAGCTTCTAGAACATGCACAACTTATGGGACCAGCCAATGGCGTAATGGTTATGTCGCTGGACTCCCATGTACCCCACCACAGATCAAGTCTCTGACCCGGTGGCTTAAACTCATGCCGGGCATGTGTTCATGTGTGCCCAAGATCCCAAGAGGAGAATGGAGGAGTCAGGATTATGGCATGGCCATCCTCCCCAGGGGGTGATTTCTCACTTTCTATCTCTCTGCTTCTTTGCCTCTCTATCTCTGTCTTTCTGGCAAGCACACATGCCCTGTAGCAAAAACCTCTCAATAAAAAAAAATAACACGTACAATTTGGAAGCATAACTGAGCTCTCTGGTTGACTTACATCAGTTGTCACAACCACAGAAGAGAAAAGAAAGTTTGTATTTTTTCCTGCTTAGCTTGTGAAATGATAAACCCTAAGACTCAGACCAGAGTTATTCCGAGGTCTGCCTTTAGACAGAAGAATGTCAGTGTTGCGTGTGGGTGCTTCATAGGCTGCCAGTATTCAGCCTCCAATAGAAACCCAGTTATCGGCCACCATCAGGGTAGACAGTTAGCAGTTTGGATTGGGAATCACAGAAAAATATGTAACTACCTTAACCATTTCACTGCAGCCTACAATATATGACTGTACATTTATACAGGCTATTTCTGGAGCTTTATCATTTTCCCCATGTATTCATCTGCCTCAACCATGTTTAATTTGACCATAATTGTCTCCCAGCTTTGATCGAGGCTATTCAAAGCCTTCAGTTTGTTATTCCTCTGAAAAAAAAAAAAACAAAGCCTTTCCTTTCATACTCATATTTTACCTGTTAACAAAGTAACTGGTACAGATGTGGCATAAACTAGTAAAGTAACTACTGGGTGGTCGGAAAAGTCATAACGTATGTTTGTATGCAAAAATGGGTCATGACTTTTCCGACCACCCAATAGTAGAGCATACGAATGAGAGAAGAAACAACTGGGGCCTTATGAGTGTGACGTCGACAGTTGGGTACAGAGATTGTGACACCCTAGGCAGCAGGCCACGCCCTCAAGTGTATCATGGAGCCAGGGGGTAGATTTTACAGAGGGTCTTGACACAGAGGTCAGCATGCTCCTTAAGTAAAGGGCCTCACAGGAGACCTTTAAGGCCTCATGGGATGCACTGTCTCTGTCACAGCTACTCTGCCACTGTAGTGCGAAAGCAGTGATAGGCTAAACATACGCAGGTAGCTGGGGCAGTGGTGCAGTGTTGCCGTGGCAGTGGTGCACTGTTGCCGTGGCATGGTGCAGTGTTGCCGTGGCAGTGGTAGTGCACTGCTCCACGGTACTGGAGCCACACAGAAGGTCAGGGTCTGCTTCCCAGGTTGACGGATACACACCGGGTATGCACTGCATGCACATGGTCCTGGAAGGCTGGGGAGACTGGGTGGCATGAGATCCTGTTGAGGATGCCTGTCTCTTCACAGTACTGCCTCTCAGTATCCCTTCTTCTCCCCACTTCATCTCATGAAAGAGATCATCTTAAATTAAAAAAAAAAAAATTAGCATGACGTTGTTACAATAATTAAACTTTATTTACAAAAACAGGTGGCAGCTAGATTTGGCCTCTGCATCAAGTTTGCTGCCTCCCTCATCTACAGGATGGTGGTTAATCCACTTAATTGAATAAAATGGCTAACAGAGGCCATAATCCACTCTGAATTACAAGAAACCTCATATTTATGAATGTAATTAGTTACACAGCAAACCCTGTGTCTAGGGAATGGTTTCACTCTTGGCTGAGACTGAGGATTTATGCAAATCATTTCACTATGGAAGTAGAATATATAATGATAGGAGCCTGGTCTCCTTAGCCAGACTGCCTGGGTTTTAATCCTGGTCTACCAATGAATAGCTGTGTTACATTGGACAAGTTAATTAGCATCTCTGTGCCACATTTCTAGAGTCCTCGTATACAAAGTGGGAATGACAGTTGTGATGAGAATGAATGAATTTTTGATAATGTAGGTAAGGTACTTGCACAGAGCCTGGGGTGTAGTAAGTGTTCAGTAAGTGTTTCGCCATGGTGGTGGCAGCAGTAGAGGTATATGAGAGTCTCAGAACCGTTGGCACCTATAATATCTTTTTCTGCTCTCAGTGTTCTCCTTTTCCCTAGTGGCATTTCCCCTCCGACTCCTCTCATACTTCCTACTGGCTTCATAGTGCCTCTGGCTTTGACCTTGACTTCCATCCTCCTTAGCCTTTCAGAACAGCGTCCTGTATCAGAGCCTTCTCTCTACCTTCCCTACTTTATTTCCTTGAACCTGCCACATTGCAGTAGGAATTACTATCTTCAGACCACCAAAGGGCATCTTTGAGAATATCAGGAAACGGTGTCCTTCCCACGTGGGGTGAAGTCCCCTAGGGTGTAGGACTGGATGGGTATCGCATGCCTTTGGGTGGATGGACTGTAAAAAGGTATCCCTCACTCAGAGATGCAGCCCATGGCAGGATGCAGAAGCTGGCAAGCAGGGGAGTATCAGCCCTTCAGCACTCAGGGCTGGAAGCCTTTGCCCAAGTCCACCTGCACAAACCTATGTTGTCCGCCTCACCCTCTGCTTCTGACTATGGGAAGGCAACACCAATAAACAAATTCATTTCGTATGAATATGTAATAAGTGGTTCAGATGTAGTATTCCACAGTATTCCTCCTAGGTATGGGTGTTTTCCTTTATCTCTTAAAAAAATTGAAAGGGGGGATCATTGGAGGTTAAATAGTGACAATCTATAGTAGATGGTGGTGGAGAAAATTGGTAGAACAGCCTTTCACAGTTTTCATACTAATGGGTCACTCCAAGGGTCTCTAAGGAGCTGAAACCCACCATCTCCACATTTTTGAAGTTTGGGGAAAAAAAGAAAGGAAAATGAGGTTCTGTTAAGCATCACATCAGACTTGACTGTACCTCTTGTCGTCCAGCAGCAAACGTTCCCTACATTTTTCATAATGGCACCATTGTTTTCTCAGCTCACCGGCTTTGTATTTCTTCCTTGCCCCTTAGGATGACCAAACCCCACTCCACATTTCAGCCCGACTGGGGAAGGCAGATATAGTACAACAGCTGCTGCAGCAAGGAGCATCCCCCAATGCCGCCACGACATCTGGGTACACCCCGCTTCACCTTTCAGCCAGAGAGGGGCACGAGGACGTAGCTGCATTCCTGTTGGATCATGGAGCCTCTTTATCTATAACAACAAAGGTACGAAAATGAGTTTAGAAATTCTGTAGTGTTCCTCAAACATCCCCCTTACAATCTCCAACCCAGTGATAGCTAAGTACTTGTAGACGTGGGAGAACAGCCCCTCACCTCTTAGTGCACAATGGACACAGAAGCTACACAACAGCACCTAAAACTGGAATCCCAGAGTAGTCTTGTACGTGGCTAGCAGAGCCCCAGCATCAGGGAGGGTAGCTGTTTTACTTATTTACTTACTCATTTTGTCTTAAGTTTCCTAGTTAATTTTCTTCTCATGAAACCTTAACTGAGACCTAGAGTAAGAGATTTCTTGTGGGCTATTTGACAGACTTAAATGACAGTTAAAAAACAGAACTACAATGGCCAGCAGATGGCATGGCGGTTGGGGTGCCGGACTCCCACATGGCCGACCACAGTTTGACTCTGAGACATAGAGGCCTGAAAGTCAAGCCAGGTACACATGTGTGCCCAGAACCTTAGAGGACAAGAAAAGATTGTAGCATGGCCATCCTCCTCCCCGCAAATGTTTTCTCATTTTCCCTCTCACTGTCTCTCTCTGGACGAGCACACATGCCCTATGGCAAAAAGCTTAAAAACACCTACAGGTTTCTCTTGCTGAGGCCAAGTACACAAACCATGTTATCGAAGTTCAGTTGGTTGGTGCTTTCATAAGATTTGCATATCAGAAGGTGATTTTTTTTTTCTTGGATTGTTTTTACTTGTCCTATTGTCATCTTATCTGATTCATGATTTGATTTTTTTTCCCCTTAAATCTCAACTCTGAGTAATAATACCCTAGCACTGTGTTGAATGTAAAACTTGGAGCTCATTTTTCTTGTGAAATTACATAAAGCTAGCAAGTGTGATAGCAAAGTTAACTAGCCTGTGGTATGTCTTTAAAAGCTAGTGACTGGGACCAGCAGGTGGCGTGGTGGTTAAGGTGCTGGACACTCCCACATGGCTGACCACGGTTCGAGTCCCAGACCTGGTGGCTTCCTTTCTCACTTTCCCCCTCTCTCTTTCCTCCTCTGTGTCTCTCTCTGGTCAAATTAAAAAATAAAAATCAGTGAATAAATAAAATAGAATAAATAATTATTTTTATAAAAAAAAGCTAGTGACTGGTGGTGTACTCCATTTAGATATAGAGAACTATTGATGCATTATCAACACAGAAGATAATTACTAATGCTTTCAAAACTACCTAAATAAATAATGACTACCTCAAACATCATTCCTATCAATAATAATTCTTTGGGCTTTTCAGTAGAGTTGAGATGCGAGTTCCTGGATCTCACTTAACACATGAAACATAACCGGGGTGTAGGGCGCCCCAGGCCCAACCACCGGCCTAGTTTGCTGTAGTCTCATGAGGTCAAGTGTGTTGAGGACACACAAATCCCTGACTCATACTTATGACCTTTCCTCACAGTACACACTGATCAAATGGTGATAGCTAAGTACTTGTAGACATGGGAGAGCAGCCCCTCACCTCTTAGTGCACAATTCTTCCCTATTTGTTGGGCTGGAACTGTGTCGTTCAGTTTCCTCTAGTGGCAAAGGTGGGGGAAGTTCTAACTGCTGCTCTGAAGACCAGCATACCTGTAAGGGTATGAGCGTATATATGGGGAAACAGAAAAGGGCAAGACCAAGTGTCCAGTCCAATGATGTGAGGTTGCAAATGGTCCATTCCTACCCTGACACTCACCATGCCCTCTGGGTCTGAAACCCTGTTTCCCATTTTTCTTCACAATGCAAAAACCCAGAATGACCCTGGAGTACGTCCCAGATCCTGCTTCCCCACGTCATCCTGGTGAGGAACCTAGTTAGTTCCAGCATGGAATGGCATCTTGCAGCTCGGTCAGCACAGGGAGGAATATTCTCCCTGCTGTGTGTTCTCCCATCCCTGTTAATAAGGGGACTCTGCCTGTTACCTGCGTCTTGGTCCTTACATGAATGGATGAGTATCTGTTGATGACAACATGTGTGGTATCTTCAACTGGACTGGTGTGAAGTGTATTCGAGCTGGGTCAATTCACTTTACAAGCTGTAGTGATGGATAGTGCTTGAATGTATAAAATAAAATAATCAATCAATAAAAAAGAGTCTTCAGTGTTCGTGGTCACCAGTTCCAGAAAAACCATGCCCTTAGGTTATGTCTACTATTCCTTATTCATGTTTCTTTTTTCAGAAAGGATTTACTCCCCTACATGTGGCAGCAAAATATGGAAAGCTTGAAGTAGCCAATCTCCTACTACAGAAAAGCGCCTCTCCAGATGCAGCTGGGAAGGTATGAGGCCATTGGCCACCCTGTCACGGGCCATTGTCACGCTAACAAAATGAGCCTTTGCGATGTTCACCAGCAGCCACCAATTAAAACTAAACCGTGCTCAAGTCCCACTAGGATGAAGAGCACCTGGGAGAAGGGCGAAGGCTGGGGTCTGAGGATGGTGGAAACTGGAATGTAAACCAAACCTTTGCGATATCCAGTCTAATCACATGGCCCAGATCTAGGCCTCTGATGTTATTAAGGCACTTTGACACAGGTTGTTGTTTCTGCACGTGTTTTCAGAGCGGGCTAACTCCACTGCATGTAGCTGCACATTACGATAATCAGAAAGTGGCACTTCTGCTGTTGGACCAAGGAGCCTCACCTCACGCGGCCGCAAAGGTACCTGCAGTTCCACAGCATGAGGAGACTGATGGGCAGTGTCTGCGGGGCTCTGTTTGCACATCCACGTTTGCTTCATCTGTAGTGCCCTCCCCATCTAGGCAGCATGGTAGACGGGAGCTTCTCAGCAATCCTGTGCCTTCAGCTGTGTAGTCAGCTAATGTGGTAGATGCTTAATAAATATGCTCTTGCCAATTGATTTTTCTTGAAAATCCAGGACATCCTGGAGCCTGGGGGAGGACAAGGAGTTGGAGTTCTCTTTAAGCCAGATTAAAAACATAAGGACAGCCTGAGGGAGTAAAAACATTCTGATTTGTCAAAAGAATAAAATGTGTATTACATTTTCCTAGCCATAAAGTATCATTGCTTTTGAGTTGTTTATTTGTGTTGAGTAAAATAGGCGGGAAGGCCTTGCATATGTGTTTTATTTTTGCTAAGAAGAATATTCTTACTGTTAGGGCATTTTGACCAGCTGACAACTTAGTTTTCTAAAAGATGCATAGAGTCGTTATCTTATTATTATTACTCTGGTATTCTGACATGAGGGACAAATCATGAAGGAGAGTAGATTTAAAGACAAATTAAGGGCTAGCAGGTGGCATGGTGATTAAAAGCACTAGACTTCCATATGCCCAAATGCAGTTCGAGTCTCCAGCCCGGTGGCTTGAAACTCAAACCAGGTGCATGTATATGCATGCCCAAAACCCTGAGAGGAGAATGAAAGAGAAGCAATTGTGGCATAGCCATGCCACCTGGGGGATGATTTCTCACTTTCCCTCTGTCTCTCTCCAGTAAGGACATGCACCCTATGGCAAAAAAACAAAAACATATAAACAAAAATGTTAATAGAGTATTATTGGTTTAATAAGTTCTCTATTGCTTTGGAGGTGGCTATGATTGGCGAACACTAGAATGTTATAAATCACAATTTAAATGTCATCTAATTATTTTATGAAATACTATTATAGAAGGACCCTTTAACATCTCTAAAGCTTTTTCCATTTCTTTTTTACTATTCCACTTGGGGCAGCTTCAGTACTCTCCTTTAAACTTAATGTGTAGGGACCAGCAGTTAGCGTAATGGCTATGTCACTGAACTCCCATGTAGCCGACCACAGTTTGAGTCCTGGACCCAGTGGCTTAAACTCACAGCTGGTGTGTGTGGGTGTGTGCCCAACATCCCAAGAAGAGAATGGAAGAGAAGGGATTGTGGTGTGGCCACCCCCCTCCACGGGGTGATTTCTCACATTCTCTTTGTTTCTCCAGTGAGTGCACATGCCCAATAGCAAAACTCTCAAAAAAAAAAAATCATGAAATGGAAAATTTTGTTATGTATATTCAACAAAATTTTAAAGAGAAAAATTTGTAATGGGTTTTAATGACTGTCCACTGTATTTCAGTTTATTTTAACTATCATTGTGCTGTGGACTACTTTTCTGATATCTTAAGTAACTCCAGGTTCTTGGTAGACAACCAAGTAATAATCAGTAAATGAACTATTAATTCTTCACATGAGAGTGATCATATAACCAGTGCCAACCAGTTTAGAACAGACAAGAACAGTAAAATCATAACAAGATGAATCTAATCCACTTTTGTATCCACGGATAATTCTTAACTGGGTCAATAATGACTACATTTGTAGCTGACTTCCAGCTGTGTGTTTGTCAAACAAACTGACCTAATATCCAGGGTCACATATCAGCAAATCATCTTTTTTTTTTGGAGAGGTTTTTGCTATAGGGCACATGTGCTTGCCAGAAAGACAAAGAGAGACAGAGAAACAGAAAGCGAGAAATCACCCCCCCAGAGGGGATGGCCATGCTGCAATCCTTTCTCCTTCATTCTCCTCTCAGGATCTTGGGCATGCATGCACGCACACGCACCTGGCGTGAGTTTTAAGCCACCCGGTCCGGGACACGAACTGCAGTCGACTACATGGGAATCCAGCGACATAGCCATTACGCTAACTGCTGGTCCCTTTGCAGAACATCTTTAACAGAGATGAAAAGTCATCTTCTAAATAATTCCTTGTAGTGCCCCCTTAGCCTTCAGCATATCGTTTATGATCCTAACGGCACATGGACTCTCACACCCACAGCACAGGTGCACGTAGAGACTGGGTAATGCCATCCCTGGTGCATGTCCGACCATCCCCCACTTCTAGGGCAGTGCTGCTGGTCAGGGACTTTTTCTAGACTTTAATCCTGAGCAAAGCCAATTGTACCAATTAGAGATTGGCTTTATCTGATAGAGAAAGACCGTAGTGTCAGCAGATGGCATAGTGATTACGTCACTGGACTCCCACATGGTTGACTGTGGCTCAAGTCCTGGACCCAGTGGCCTGAAACTTAATGCTGGGAGCATATGTGAGCACATGTGCCGTAAGGCAAAAATATCTTTAAAAGAAAAGAAAAAAAGAAAGAGGCCCTAGCTACCTACTGTGGTATAAATTTATGAGGCTTCATGTTTCTCGTGTCTTAGGTAGTCAGGACAGTTGATGGCATTGGTTCAGTGTTTCTAGGGTGTGGAGGGAACTTCGCTGTGATGACTTGCTCTTTTTTCCCTTCAGAGATTGGGAGCTTAGGTCACCAGGCCTCCTTTCAAGTGAGAGGCAGAAAGTTAGCATGACAGGGCTTTCCCAGGAATACCAACAAGTCACATTTCAGGTCTCAGCCACTCTGTCTGCAAGGGAGGCTGGGAAGCACAGCTTTTCAGCTGGGTACATGGACAGCTTTTTTGTTTTGTTTTGTTTTGTTTTTGTAACTAAGGAAAGAGGGAGCACGCGTATAGGCTAGGTAGTCAGCCTTCACTGCAGAGAGATGCAGGCAGAGGTCAGAAATGAAGGACAGGGGCCTTATAAGGTACAATTACTATGGATCTGGTAGCAGCGACCTCACCGTTAACCCTTCCTCAGATCACATCCTGGGTTCTTCTTAGAGTGTGATGCCGGGTTTTTGTTTCTGTTTTCTTTCTTTCTTTTTTACCCTTTCTTCTGTTTTTTAAAATCGCCAACATATTTTGTTACTCATACATGTCCTAGAAACATAATGTCACTTTAGGTAATTGCACTACTTAAAAAAATATATGGGCTGCTGTAATCCATTTTTGCCAGATCGATTTCCTGAGAATGTTGCACTGGAAAGAAGACTGTCTTGAGTTGAGACATAACCTAGACACTAATAATGGAAGAGATAGCAAACCTTATTATTTGTCAAATTTCTCTTCCATGAAACATATGTATTGTATGTGTTGGTATATTTGTGAAAGTTCTTGGGGAAAAATATGAAATACAATATAAATATTATGTGTTATTTTTGTTAACTTAAAATTATATTTGTGGGGCTAGCAAGTGGCATAGTGGTTAAGGCATTGGACTCCCACATGGTCAACCATGGTTTGATTCCCAGACCTGGCAATTTAAAACTCACACGAGTGGGCATGCATGCATGTGTGCCCCAAATCCTGCGAGGAAAATGGAAGAAAAAGGATTGGGGCATAACCATCCCCACTGGGGCTGAGTGCTCACTTCCTATCTCTCTCTGTCGCTCCAGCGAGTTTACATGCCCTATAGCAAAATCTTTTTTTAAATTGTTTTTATTTTCATTTTGAAATGCAAAGGTACCCATGGCAAGCATTATGTCCTCTACATTAAGAGGGGAAAAGTAACAGAGATTAAAATGATGGTGGTGTGGTGACTGAGGCCGCTGGGTCCCACTAGCCAATTGCATCATTCAAGTCCCAGACCCAAGGTTGGAGAAACAAACCACGTTCATGTGTACACACACTCAGATCCTGAAAGGAGGGAGAGATGGAGAATTGAGTTCAGCATGACCATTCCTTCTGGGAGTGGGAGTGTTTTCTCACTTTCTCTAATTCTCTGTCTCTTACCAAGCACTGATGGCCTCGGGCAAAATTAAATTTAAAAATATTATTCTGTGGTTGAATCTCTTACCACTTTTTTTTCCTTCTGATAAATACATCTGCCTCGGACTAGTCTGAGATGTATGTCATGTTGGGTAAATTCTCTTTACAAGCCAAATGATGTATAGCAATCAAATATTTGAAAAAAATAAGAATAATAAAAATATATCTGCCTCCTTTAGTGTGGCAAGTGAGGCTCATTCTGCTTTCCAGAGCACAGAAAGAACTTAGAAAATGTAGAAAATTCCCATACAGATCTCAAGATAAACTACTTATTATTTGAAAATATTTGTTAAGTCTTTCTGAGATTAACTCTCCCTTCTAAAGTAATACCATGAGTCATTTTTCCCATGTCTCCACTTCCCTTTGTCTCTCAGGTAAGGAGCTCAGGATAAACCCCTCAGGAACAGTAACTTGTCTGGGATTGGCACGCATTATAGGGATGCCAGAGGGTCTCTCGATAAGTGCGTTTCAGGACTTAGGACCTAGGATTTTTTGGTAGAATTGGATGTAATCAGGAAGATTGACATGTCTAAGAGGATATTGAGCTTACCTTGGTTAGGGGTTGAGAAGGCATAAACTTGGAGGTTATGTTGGTAGTAAAAATAAAAAGAGATAAGATGCATGGGAAGGAACTAAATTCTGAATTATCTTGCCATTTCCACTTGGAGTGTGAGATAAATCAGTGTATCATATTTTCTATTTCAGCACTGCTTTGTGAATTTCCTCTTTTGTGCAGGGTGTGGATGGTGGCAAAACAGCTCACTCCCTCCTGTCACTCACTGTAGAATTGAGTTCGGTCCAAAGCTCTGCACTGAGCTCTGAAGGCGTTGGTCTCTGAAGGGTGTGTCTCAAGAGAGGGCCAAATGCTTCCCAGGGCAGCTGGGGTTTCCAAATGGCAATAGGTCAAAACTAAAAATAGGGATATAAAATCTTCTTCTACCCTAGCTCATCCAGTTTGGCAGGGGCTAGTTTCAGAAGAGTCTAGAAATGACATTTCCACTTTCATAGGTTGATATCCGATAGCCTAAATCCTCTACAATTGATTTCAGGAAGAGTGTTTGTCCAACAAGAAATGCCATTGGACCGGGTCATGCCCATGACTTAAATATAAAAGTACTTGTAGCAAACTGTCCAGTCAGTGGGTACAGCAGCCCCCACGACCTTCTGAGCCAACCTTGTGGCTCTGAAAGATTGTGACTGACCCATTACCTAAATTTAGATCAAATACCCAAGTATAAATTCTCACATTCTGTTTTCTTTGTCTAAATCTTCCTGTCTATATTTAAAATCTTTTCTAACCCATCATTGGCATATTTTATGTAACCAGGTTTGTGTTTGTGTCAGGATTGTAATCTCGCATTTCCCTTATGCCTGCAGACTACGGCAAGTTTTCCCAAAGCTCATTCTTAGGGCAAGGGACTGTGAAGGGACTGGAGGGACATCTAATGAATAGTTTATCAAAGGAATCTTGGTTGTCTCTATCCGACCCTCAGAGGTTAGCCAAGAGAAGTACACCAGAATGTTCTGAATGTTCTAGTATGCTTGGTTCAAATTCTAAGGGTTCCTTTCTTCATTTAATCAATGTGTACCAATTACCGTGAGGTACTAGAGGTACAATAACACAACATGTACCCTCAAGAAATTTGTATTTTAGTAGCAGGAGACAGATGTATAAACCACAGAGTGTGGTACTAAATGCCCCCCCCTGCTGCCCCCTACTTTGATCAGTGTCTCCCAGGTGAGGGGACTGGGAGGTAGGAAGAAGTAGAGGACTTCATGGGGTGGGATGGGGTATGGTGTCCCTTGAGATGAATTTTCAACCAAAAGATCTTGGCCCAATGGGTGTATAGGAGAAATGCATTCTCGGTCAAGTAAGGCAAGACAGTGAAACATGAGACCATATTCTCTCTTTTCATTTTTTTAAAATAATTTATTTTATTTATTAAGTTTTTTAGTTTGACCACAGAGAGATAGAGCAAGCTGCCAGGTCTGGGACTTGAATCATGGTCAGCCACATGGGAGTCCAGGGCCTCAACCACCATGCCACCTGTCAGCCCGGAGACCATTTTCCTGAAGACCTTCAAGATGACCAGTCCAGCTAAAGCATAGCCTAGGAGTTTTATAAAAGAGGAGTTCAGAGTGACAAATGGCGGTAGATTATAGTGTCTTGACTAGCATGGAGATTTCAGCTTGGAAGCAATAGATGACCATCGAGGGACTTTTAAAATGAAATCATGAATGGCTCCAGTTGTCCTGTGATGTTTTTGTTTGTTTTGTTTTGTTTTGTTTTGTTTTATGTTCCTAATGGTATCCCTTCCATCTTCAATTTAAATAAAGCAAGTCATTATTGAGCATCTACTAACATGACTGCCTATGAAAGGGAAGTCCACATTCCTTTTGGAACACTGATAGTACTTTAACTCTCACAGTCTACCGTCTACATTAAGTTGTGTTTTTCCAAGTTAGGAAAGCAGGAGACATGAAGGCACTATGTTTATGGAATCCCTTGGTTTATCAGTGTTTGCTTACTTCATCACAATGTTTTAAAACAATCAAAGAAAACCCCTAGAAAGAGAAATGCATAGCACACATTTTCTTCTGGTTCCTGGGCTTGTGACCAAGTGATTCGTGTTGACAGAATGGTTATACGCCGCTGCACATCGCTGCCAAAAAGAACCAGATGGACATAGCGACAACTCTGCTGGAATATGGTGCTGATGCAGACGCAGTTACCCGGCAAGGAATTGCTTCTGCCCATCTCGCAGCTCAGGAAGGGCACGTGGACATGGTGTCACTGCTCCTCAGCAGAAACGCTAATGTGAACTTGAGCAATAAGGTAACCTTTTGCTTTCTGTGCATAACATGCAACCTTACAAAACCTTGCACCAACGAGTCGCTCAGAATGTGTGAAAAATCTGGGTCAAATAGCATGTGTAAAGTGTGCTATTGCACAAAGATGTTGACAAAAGTTATTTATCACAGCCCAAACTTGGAAGCAAACTGTTTAAGCAATGAAAGGACCAAGAATTCAGTCATACAATTGAGTTCCAGTTGTGCATCGCTTAACAGTAGGTTCTGAGAAAGGCATCGTTAGGTGATGTTATATTGTGAGACATCAGCGTGCTTACACAGACTGAGATGCTCTTTCCTCCTTCACACCCACACTATGTGCTGTAGCCTGTTACAATCTTCAGGGGCCGCCCTTGTGTATGTGGTCCATCATTAACCAAACATCACTATGGGGTGCAGGCCTGTATATTCATGTGAATTTGGTTTTGCCGACCTGCTTACTAAGATCTGCCCAGGGGCTAGCAGGTGGCATGGTGGTTGGGGCAATGGACTCCCACATGGCTGATCACTGTTTAAGTCCTATTCCTGGTGGCTTGAAAATCACATGTGCATGCATGCCCAAATTCCCAGAAGGAAATTGAAGGGATTACAGCATGACCCTGGGAGGTGATTTCTCTCCGTCACTTTCTCTCGCACTGTCTCTCTCTGGCAAGCACACGCACCCTATGGCAAAATAAAAAATAAAAATTGCCCAAAATCAGAGCACGTATTTGAAGTCTTCAGGGAACAGCACTTAATGCTGCAAAGGGGCCCCAGATTCCTGGTAAACCACCCTCTCCAGCATTTATCTTCTCTTCTCCTCCATGTTGGGTGTTGGCATAGCCATGGTATTCCTCAGCCATAGCTCAGATATTGGACCTTCAAAATAGTAATCATCTTATAGTGAGAAACAGCAAGTCATGTAGACATTTTTAACACAGGTGTCCTATGTTTTGAAATCACAGAGGGTTCTGAATGTTAAATTTGACTCTTCCTGACATGTAATTTGAGCAAATTCTGTGACCTCCCTGAGCCTCAGTTTTGTTTTCCGGTAAACGACAATAACAATATTTACCTCACGGATATGTCATGAGGGTTAACTGAAATAATGTTCAGTGACACCTCTAAGTAGAAAAAAATAGTTGTGTTAATTTTAGAGTTTCCACAATTTCAGGAACAAGTTATTCTGCACTAATCTGAATTCCTGAGGTTATAATTTAACAAATCCTGTAGCCAGAAAGATATAAACAGGAGGCCAAAGAAACTCTTTTTCTTCAGCCCTAGTATTTTGAAAATCCTTTCTGATCAGTCCAGAGCAAATGCGTTCCCCCCTTTCCCCAATGCACTGATGAGATTTTCTTTTTAAACATTCTTTTTAGGAATGCATGTCTCAAAATTAATAGGAATCCCAAACCAATTTTGAGTAGTAATTGTAAAAAATGTGTTTAAGTATTTGAATTTTCTAAGGTTCATATACTAATTGATACGCCAGATCTAAGAGCGTGCACTGTGAAATTCAACTTGCCTTAATGCTGAAGAGGAGCTTGACTTTCTGAAATTGATGCACATTCTGGCAGCTATGAGAATATATGACGATCCTTCAAAAAGTCCATGGGAATGCATACTATAAAAAAACTGTACATGGGTTCTGAAAACTTTGCACCAAATTTTTCAAAAAACTTTCTGAAGTTTCTTTATATTTTTTCCTATGAGCTCAGAACATTGTATTTTATTAATTGTGGCAGAGACAATAAAACTTCTGGTTTAAAAGTGAATATTTTCAGTAGGTTTGATACCAAACTACAATGTGACTTTTTTCTTTGAATTCTACAGTCAGTGGGTATAATATATACCCAGCCTAGTATTTACTTTAGAGAGATAGAATTTAAAATATTTTTGGACAGATGTTTCTCAGTGTTTGTTTTAGATTAGAAATTAGCACAGAAAGTCTTTCTGTTGTTATTGTTATTGTTTTTTCGCTTTTTTAGGTTCTTGCCGTAGGATTTGTGCAGTTGCTGGAGAGACAGGGAGAGGGAAAGTGAGAAATCACCCCCTACCTGATTTGGGATGGCCACACTGCAATCCCTTCTCCTCCATTCTCCTCTTGAGATTTCAGGGATGCACACATATGCACCAGTATGATTTTTCAAGCTGCCAGGTCTAGGAATCGAACCACTGTCAGCCATGCGGGAGTCCAGCACCTTAACCATCATGTCATCTGCTGGCCTCAGCAAAAAAAAATTCTGAAAACACAAAGACATATGTAATAAATTTCCAGCAACTTTTCTAGGGGGAAAAAATACAGAGGCAGAAATATTTCTAAAGAAAATTTAAAATATTTGTTGGTTTTTCATTTGCACGTTGTACTTAAGGAACTTCTGAGATCTTAGCAGTATCCAGAAATTGACCAGTAAGAAGGCATTTATAAATATTTGTATCCTTTCTCAATTGTCATTTTCTGTATAAAGTATTAGATAAACCCTGTTAAGAAAACAGAAAATAGCAGAACTTTCTGTTTTTCCTGAGCAGTTAGGGTTGTTTTGTTTTTCAATGTTCTTTTTCTAAAGAATTATTGATTTAATTTTATTTATTATTATTGTTTAGTTTGCTATAGGGCACATGCACTCACTAGAGAGAGAGAAAGAGGGAAAGTGAGAAAGCAAGCTGCCAGGTTCAGGACTTGAACTTACAAGAGAGTACATCCAGCCCTTTCACCACCGTGCCACCTGCTGGCCTGTGACTAAGGTTTTAAGCATCAAGTAGTCACTGTACCCTCTACTTCTCTCTCACCTACTCATCCCATCTCTCTATTTAACACAAGATTTTATTTCTTTGCAAAAAAAGAAAATTACAGTTTTAGCATTTGTGAAAATTTACATTGAACTAAATAATTTATTGTTGTTACTTATTATTATTATTATTTACTAGTAATCAGCAGTTCCCCAGTAGTTAAGGGAAAAAACTCATATATCCCAGGTTACTGCCAAAGTGCTAGTATTTGATTTGATTCAATTTTGCTTTTGATGTCCCTGTTTTTCTATCTGGGTTTTACAAACCACAAATAGCTATATTTTTTTATACAGCTAAAAAAATATTAAACAAAGTTGTTACTATTCCTAAGTTAATGTTCTCCTTGTTTCAAACAAATGCCATTTTAAAAATGAGGAATGGTGCTGGCCCAAGACCTGGCAGGTACAGTGGCTCAGTCCCACATGAGTTCAAGTTCCAGACCTGGTAGTTTTAGAAACATGCCAGATGTGTAGGACCAGCAGATGGCATAATAGTTACAATACTGGAGTCCCATGTGGTCAACCCCAATTTGAGTCCTGGACCCGGAGGCTTAAAACTCATGCAAGGTGCATGTGCATGTGTGCCCAAAATTCTGAGAAGAGAACAGAGGGGAAGGGACTGTGGTGTGGCCATCCCCCTGGGGAGTGATTTCTCACTTTCTGTCTCTCTGTCTCTCTCTCTCTAGCAAGTGCACACACCCTATAGCAAAAGCATCTCCTAAAAGAAAGAAAGAAACAAACATGCCAGATGCAAGTGTGTACATACCCAAAATCCTGAAGGGAGAGAGAGCTGGAAGAGTACAAATTGTGACTGATCATACATCATGAGGGTCCTTTTCTCCCTCTCCCTCCCTCCCTCCCTCTCTCCCTCCCTCCCTCCCTCTCTCCCTCTCTCTCTCCCTCTCTCCTCTCTCTGTCTCTCTCTCTCTCTCTCCAGCAAGTGCATACCACATGCCCTCTAACAAATTAAAAAAAGAAATTGAGAGTCCATAAAAAATTAATAGGTAACTTCTGAACTCAGGGCTATTGTGGCCTTTACATTATTTTTAAAAAATTGTTATAACCCACACTATACATATAAAAATAAAATTTTTATTTATTTATGTTACCCTGTTTCACCTAAAAATAAAAATTTTGATTTTTCCCTGATCTAATCAATTAATGGGTGGATTAAATACAAGAATCCAGACTGCTTATGTGAAGATTAAAGATGCAATGCTTGCCTCAGCAAGCTCACATTGGGACAAGAAAGTCAGATAAGACGGAGTTTAATTGCAGAGTGATTGCTCGGCACTGTGGTGTATGCCTGTAGACCCAGCTAACCCAGGAGGCTGAGGCAGGAGGGTCTCAAGTTCAAGGCTAGTCTGTCTCTAAAAGAAGGAGAAGGAGAAGGAGAAAACAATGTAAAGGCAGGGTCTTGATGCACTTAATAGACAGATGTGCACAGAGCAGGTATGCACAGAAATGAAGTCATGTGTCCACTCAGTGGGACACAGAAGGAGGAAGTCTGAGTGAGCCAGAAGGACAAGGCAATAGGTCAGCCCTGTGAGCAGCCTGAACATAGAAGGATAGACCCTGAGAGGGGAGGCCCTGGGCCCAGGAGGCATTTCTCAGTCTGCTGAGAGCCACTCTGGAAACCGTGTTGAGAGTCTTGCAAAGTCTCAAACTAGAATAGGTGGCCACGACACTTTTATAACATGTTACAGCCCCAAACGTTATTTTCTCTAGAGTGGAACACGGAACAGAGTTCCGTGATTACGTCAGTGTCTGGGTGGTGCCAGCTTTGTCTGGGCTTCCTTTTCTCAGATTTCAAGTGAGTACATTGGTCCTCCTTCTCATATTTCCCCTTCGTTCTGGCTGAGCGAGTTTCCTCTGACATGCAGTCAGCATTATTCAGAAGTCACCAGCAATTCACTCAGTTGCTGTTGTTTCTTTCATGGAATAGCATCCCCTAAATATTTAAGGCCACACACCCAGGGCTCTGTGCCCATCCCGAGACTGGCTTCCATTTACTCATTCCCATGACAAATGGGACAAGTTGGGGTTGTGATTACACATGTGCTCTATAGAGGGAGAGAAGAAAGCCTCCTGAACCCAAGATACTAACTTCCACGCTCATAGTGGATGAAAGAAAAGCGCCCAGAGGCGCTAGCACTGCCGGGTTCTCTTAACTATCATGTTTGAAAAAATGCTTTCCAGTGACAGGTTTTTTTGAACCCGAATATAGTCTTAGTGATTTTTTTTCCTTTTTTTTTCTCTCACCCGTTAGGACAGTCATGTGCTCTGCAAATTCTCTGGCAGCATGATTTCCAACATTCAGTCTCATTAAACCCATGCACGACCTAACTGACCTGGAAATTCTCCCAATCTGGCACTCATGTGATATGTCACAATAATTCTTTCCTACCCAGAAGCTACATACAGGGGATGTTTGTCTGGCCTGGGACATTCATATGGAGAAAATATCATCAGTGTGTGTCAGTATTCGCTTTGTAAATATATTATTTTAATAACCTTCTGCTAAAGCTTTCATGATATATTAACTCCTACAGGATTTGGTTTAAAATGTTTTTAGAGATGAACACTGAAATACATAGAGGAAAAATAGTATACTATTTGGGATTTGTTAAAAAATACTACCACCAGGGACCAGCAGTTAGTGTAATGGCTATGTCACTGGACTCCCACGTAGTCGACCATGGTTTGCGTCCCAGACCCGGTGACTTAAAACTCACGCTGGGCACGTGTGTGCGTGTGCCCAAGATCCTGAGAGGAGAATGAGGAGAAGGGATTGCGGCGTGGCCATCCCCCCGGGGGGTGATTTCTCGCTTTCTGTCTCTCTGTCTCTGTCTCTGTATGGCGAGCGCACGCGCCCTATAGCAAAAACCTCTAAAAAAAACAAAAACAAAACACACAAAAAAATACCACCAACAAATGAATAAAAAGTAAAAGAGGGATGGATGAAACAAAATAGGCGAACCTTGACAAGCGCTTAGCCTATAAAGAGTGAATATCCAATTTCACTCCATTCCCTCTGCTTTCAGGTATATTTGAATTTTCCCAGGAAGCCTGTAAGGTGCTTACACCAGTCTAGAATTCCCAGATTGTTTCTCGAGCAGGGCTGTGCATATTCCATTCCCTCCTATGAGATAACTCTGTACTTTCAATCTTTTGCAGAGTGGCCTGACCCCACTCCACTTGGCTGCTCAAGAAGACAGAGTGAACGTGGCTGAAGTCCTCGTAAACCAAGGAGCCCATGTGGACGCCCAGACAAAGGTTTGTGTTCCCTCTCTTGCCCATGCAAGAAGTGTATGCCCATATGAGCTGCCAAGCGGGAACTCCTGCAGAGAAGCAACTACAAGTATATAAGGGGTAATAATCCCCTCGCTCAGATTCATACACATGTGTATAAGTGTGCGTCTGTGCAAGGGATGCCAAAGTCTCTGCTGGTGGTGTCCCAGGTCCTCTTGTCTCTGACAGCCCAGGTACTAGATCCAGCCTGCACTCACCGTTCCCCTGTACCAGCACAGCCTTGTGACATCAGACCTCTCCCTCAGGAGCACTGCATGAAAACTTGTCTCTTTCTTCATTTTCTGACTGACTGAAAGAACTGCAGACAGACAGATAAACGTGTCGGTAACTTGGGACCTCCATCTTGTTCAGTATGATTTATCAAAAAAGGATTCATAAGGTTCGTCCAGTTATTACTCACTAAATTCTTTATGGTCTGTGTGGCCTCTCAGAAAAAAACAGGTCTCTTTTCAAACAAACAAAAGTGCTTATTAGTATCATCTAGTGACACGATTCGAACACTGATAAGATAAATGAGTGTCTTGTTTTATCATCAATAATATGATTTCATATAAATCTTATTTCTCTGAACATTTTCTGAAGAGGCTTCATTTTGTTACCTCTTCATATCAGAGTTGTTTCTCCTACTCTAAAATATGTCTTCTTTCTGTTCTGTATATCATGTTTGACACAAAATAAGAATGCTTATTCCATACAGTTGATAAAAACAGTGTTGTACATAATACAGATAGGTTTCGAGACGTGCAGACAGATTGAAGATATTAGTACAGAAGTATCAACAGGACTTAGTCAGATAGAAAGGTATTGCAGGGCCAGCAGGTGGCCTGGTGGTTAAGGCACTGGACTCCCACAGGGCGGGTCAAGTCCTGGACCTGGAGGCCTGCTTTCTCACTTTCCATCTCTCGTTCTCTTTCTGCCTGTCTCTCTCTGGTGAGCGTGAGAGGCCTGTAGCAAGTGAAAATAATTTAATTATATTAATGATTAAATTAATGATTTAATAAATCATTAGATAATAATTCATTCTTTTTAAAAAAGGTATTCAGCAGGGGCCAGCAGGTGGTGTGGTGGTTAAAGCGCTGGACACTCCCACATGGCTGACCATGGTTCAAGTCCTGGAACTGGTGGCTTGCTAACTCACTTTCTCTCTGTCTCTCTCTGGTCAAATTAAAAATAAATGAGTGAATAAATAAATTTAAAATTAAATAATTTTTTTTAAAAAAAGGTATTCAGCATGAAAGAAACTGCATATAGATTATTTTTTAAATTTTGCTTGAATATTATTATCAAAGAATTCTGGGCTTTGGAAATTTGCACCTTCATGGTAAATGTATTCACTCTGTGTTTTATTTGCACGTGCAAGTGCACACACACACACACACACACACAGACAAGCACTTGATGATGCTCTCTCTCCTTCTCTAGATATAAAAGTCTAGAAAGCAATGCATGTGTCAAGTTTCTTAATATTTTCCTACCCCAACACATCCAAGGCTGCACCAAAATTCGGTCAGGAAGGAAGGCAATGCCCCTCAGGCCAGCTGGGGGAGGGCAAGAGCAGGTAATATGCCTCTTCTGTTCTGTGTGCACATGTAGACCTTCGGTTTCGAAATTTCAGGTTCCTACCATGTTTCCTCCCCATCCAACCCAACTCAGTCACAGTCTGTGTGACCCATATGGCGGATACAGCGTCATATCTGAAAACATGAACCTTCTCTTGCCCTTACAACATCTTGCTCCAGAAAGCATCTCTCTGTCTCTTATAAATGATGTCCTTTCCCTTTTTCTTCTCAGCAAAGATCATAGCTACCAAAAGAAGGTGAAGCTCATATCACGCTGTAGTTAGAGTTGAGCATAGTGCAAAGGGGTGGGTTGTTGCACTTGCTACTTAAGAATGTAAATTAGGACTTCGCTATAGGCATGACCTTGCAGATTCTCACTGGTGAGAAAACATCCCCAAGTAGCTTAAAGGTGGGATATGCACCATTCAATGTATTGGCTTAAGTTTCAAAATAATGTAACAAAAATGTCAAAGGTTCTTTTCTCTTATGAGGAAAAGACTAGAAAATCCTGGTATTAACTTTTGTAGTCTTTACCAGGGTTGGCTGACCCTCTACCCCCCTTCTCTCTTTGCATTCAAAGTTCACCAAATTGGTCCAGACTGTGTTGTGCTGGTGGCCACGGGGTATAACAGTTAAAGGTTGTGTGAATAAGGTCACTGCTTTTGCTTTCGTTTATTAGTATTTTCTTTGTTTGCTTGTTTCTTCCATGAGTGACAGAGACCGAGAGGCAGCATTCCCAGCAGGCTCTGACACTGTGATCCATTTCCAGCCTCAGCCTATGCTAGTCATGGGCACCTATGTGCCTGGCGTTCTCAGGGAGGTCTCCAGATATGAACCCAGGACCTTCCTGTGTGGGTCAACCCCCCAGAGTGTCATGTTTTACTGCTGTGTCACTTTGTGGCCCCTGCTTTTGCTTTTTTAAAGGATAATATTCTGAAGCACTTTATTAGACCACTCCTGAAAGGAGTTGATTCTCAGACGGTTCTAATAGACTCAATAGTTATGTTTTATTTCTTTAAGTATGTGTAAAAACATTACACATTTTCAGATCTTATTTGATACCCACTTCAAATTCATTTATAAGGCTCCTACAAGTTATCAAATTCTTTGGGCAGTATACACCTTGCCCTCATAGGATTCATAAACTACAGAGGAAAATGTGGTATTAACAGCAAAAACAATAAAAGCAACAAAATTATACTAAAACTTATTACCCTTTTTTCTATATTAAATAGTGTTCAAAGTGCTTTGTATTTATTCATATGTTTAATTTTTACAACTACCCTTCAAAGTTAGTAAAATTAGTATTTCTGTTCTATAGGTAAGAAAACTGAAGCACAATTATTGTACATAAGATGTCATAGATATTATTAAAAAGTCTGATTTGTAGCCACCCACACATACGTATGTTTAGAGATACAGGTAATAACAGGTTTTTACATTGGCACTGTATCCTGCTAAAAGATTCTGCTAAAAAATTAGGAAGATCTCAGAGGGCCATAGTATGCCAGGCCAAGCAGCTCCCTTTTTCATTCTGTTTGCACTGAGGAGCCACTAAAGGCGTTGAACAGAAGAGTGAGAAGGTCAGTAATCTGGTTTAGGAGATCCTGGGAAACAGTGCAAAACATACATTGATCAAAGAACTTGGGGCAGGTGCACTTAAGCTATTGTTGAGGCCTGAGTAAAAGAATAAAGAAGACCCTAGGGCCAGCAGATGGCGGTGGTTAAGGGCGCTGGACTCCCACATGGCCAACTGCAGTCTGAGTCCCAGACCTGGTGGCTTGCTTCCTTACTTTCTCACTCTCGCTCTCACTCTGTCTCTCTTTGGTCAAATAGAAAGAAAGAAAGAGAAAGAGAGAGGCAGAGAGAGAAAGAGACAGACAGCGAGAGAAAGTTCAATAAAATAATTTTAAAAAAAGAATAAAGAAGACCTCAACTAAGTGGTAGATGGTAAGCTGATGAACGGGAGAGAAATACAAGAAATATTTAAAGACACAAACAGTGGGACTTGAAGGCCACGTATGTATAGGGACTGAAGAAAGTGAGACACTTAGGATCTGCATTTCAGGATCTGAGACACTTAGCGAGAATCTAAGGATCTGCCCTGTGTAACTACCTGACCTCAAGCACTACTCAGTGAGAGGATAAAGGAGAAGAAACCGAAGAGAGAAAGAATCCAGGGAGCTCTTTTGGGGGGTATTGAATTCTGTCAGGTTGTCAGGAAAGTCATGGTGCATTTTGACCTAGAAAAATGGAAAAGGGGAAAAATTCCTCCCAGTGGTGGTGGCCAAGGCTGAGCGCTTGGGCAGCAGCAGCACAGGGCACGTTCCTGGCAGCACCCAGATCCTGCAGCCCACTGCCCTGGCCGGAGCCGGAGGCTGCGGCTGCCCAGCAAGAGGCAATGACTTCCAGTGGTGCTTCTCGCAGGTTAAGGGGGCCAGCGACAAAGACATGGCCCAAGCCGACAGCATTTCAACCGTTGAACTTAATTACTCTGGAGATCTCGCAGGAGACAAGGGCAGCAGAGTTGTTATTTTTTTCAGTGGGAACAAGAGAATAAAAGCCACCCTCATTCTAGGGGAGAATATGTTTACAGTACCTTTCAAAGTCATGAACCAGAATTTGACTATTTGAAAAGTCTAGACATTGAGGAAAACATTAATAAAGTTAGGTGGTTACCACCAAAGAATGCTGTTTATTTCCTGCTCCCCGCAAATGATAGAACTGTACAATTATGGAAAATAAGGGGGCAGGACAAGAGAGCAGAAGGTTATAACTTGAAAGATGAAGATGGACGACTTCGAAATCCATTTAGAATTACAGCACTATGGGTCTCCCATATTGAAGCCCATGGACCTTACGGTAGAAGCAAGTCCACAATGAATCTTTTTGTTTTTCCTTTTTTTTTTTTTTTGGAGAGGTTTTCTCTATAGGGCGCATGCGCTCACCAGACAGACAGAGAGAGACATAGAGACAGAAAGAGAGAAATCACCCCCCAGAGGGGATGGTCATGCCACAGTCCCTTCTCCTCCATTCTCCTCTCAGGATCTTGGGCACACACGCATACGCGCCCAGCGTGAGTTTTAAGCCACCGGGTCTGGGACGCGAACCACGGTCAACTACGTGGGAGTCCAGCAACATAGCCATTACGCTAACTGCTGGTTCCCTCCACAATGAATCTTAGCAACTGCTCACACATATCATATAAATTCTATTTCAATGAATAGTGGTCATGAAATATATCTTTCTGCAGATGACCTGAGAACCTGTGGCATTTAGAAATCAGAGATAGAAGTTTTAAGATTGTAGATATTGAACCTGCTAACATGGAGGAGCTGACAGAAGTCATTACCCCATCGGAGTTCCACCCACACCAGTGTAATGTGTTTGTCTACAGTGGCAGTT